CGCGCCCAAATTAAGAAAAGTGATTTGAATCAAGAGATACTTTGATGACCATCGATTCATACAATAAGCTCTTCAGAAAAAAAATTTGAACCGATTCTGTCCTCCGTATAAAAAGTCGATTTTGCGCTAATGCTATTTCGAATGAATTAAAACTAATTTCGTACTTGATCTCACTTTGGAACTACTAAATTACTTCAAAGTAGTTTATTTGAAACTATTGGAAATTAATTTTGATTTTTCAGATTGATGTGACTCAGTTTTGACTTTTTAAGTTCATTAGAATAATTTTTTTAAACGTTTACCATTGATTTTGATTTTGGTTCAGTTCTTTTACGGGAAGTTTTCTGTGAAATCGAACTGGACGTAGCATATCATTCACAAGACGATCATAATCGTCGTGTAACAGGGAAATTTTAAATGGTTTGGTTTTAGAAAACAGTTTAAATTAATTTCTGCAGTTTGTTAGTTCGAATTAGTTTCAGATTGAAAAGTCGTTTACAAATCTATCATTAATTGATTTAAATGTATTCATTCTCGTAAATTGATCTGACGAGGGAACCTCTTGAGGTTATAAGTCGCTTTTGAACTCGGACTACTTGTATCTCGTAGAACTCAGTGAGTAGTGAAATACCCTAAGTTCGTCCATCCCCATGGTGCTTTGTTGCTGAGATATTGAATTTTTAGTCAGTTTTTCCTATAGAGCTTGGATTTCGAGTAAAATCCGACTTTCGAACTTTGACTTGAAACTTGCCACACTGGTAGCCCATGATCATAGTAGTACGATGGGAAAAAGTTCGATCCTAATGAATTTTCCTGCCTTGAGATATTGAGACTTGAACATCTGGTCCTCACCCTCACCTTCAGGTGAAATATTCGAGTCTCAATATCTCAAGGCAGGAAAATTCATTAGGATCGAACTTTTTCCCATCGTACTACTATGATCATGAGCTACCAGTGTGGCAAGTTTCAAGTCAAAGTTCGAAAGTCGGATTTTACTCGAAATCCAAACTCTATAGGAAAAACTGACTAAAAATTCAATATCTCAGCAACAAAGCACCATGGGGATGAACCAACTAGGGTATTTCACGACTCACTGAGTTCTACAAGATACAAGTAGTCCGAGTTCAAAAGCGACTTATAACCTCAAGAGGTTCCCTCGTGAGTTAATTTCTCTTGTCAAAGCCTCGATTGTAGTGAAATTTAAAACTTTTATATTGTCTATGCACTTGGTTGTTATTATTGAGAGTGAGACGGACTATTTAAACTTGAAAATCTTTAAATCATTTGCCACCACCAGCCAGTCAGTTGTTTTTGCTGAAACGAAATAACCAAAAAACCCGTTTTACGGCGTCTGTTTAGCTTTTTTGGAAAAAGTTATTAAGAACTGATTCTTCGACGGAATAGTGCACTGCGTATCTTTTTGCGCCCGATTGTGTCCAACTTGTGCACCATCTCTTCTCTTCTTTCATAACATGGAGCTTTCGGTGTTGTCTTAGATGAAAGGTCGGATCGAAGTCTATTCAGCCAAGTTAAAAAAAAATACTGTCGATAGCTTTAATTGACACCAATTAGACACGTCAACGGTTCTAGTTGACACTACATAGCGGTTTCACACAGTGGTGTTTTCTCATTACTTTTCTGCAGAGTTCACACTGTACATTCATGCTTTGCTGTAGTCCTGAAAAGACTTTTATATGAATTCAAATTACAAATTTTAACATTAGAAGATGTAGATTTTCTGGACGTTTCTGCTCAACTATGGTAGGAAAGATGATATAACAAAAATAATTGACATCTGGGAAGTATTAAGGAGTATTTACTGTAAAATTTCGGTCCGGGAGTAGTTTTTGAATATGAATCAAAACGTTGAAGGTGGCTACAAATTGTAAAATAACTGTAACTTTCTACCGGAATGACACGAAGTTCATAACGTCTATAAAAAAACACATGAATTTATTTTGGGGAAAAATAGAGGATTTATTCTGCTTATTAGAAGATACTAATATTTCACTGCAAGTAATTCAATCAATATACCTACGCATTTAACTGGTATAATTAGTATTGTGTGCAGATTTCGGACATACGCTAACCTTTACTACTTCTATTAAAGGAAGAAAACGAGCATATTTATTAATACTTTGTGCTGATTATTTTGTAGAAATAACCGATTGCTACAATCTTGATGAAGTATCATTTGCTGTGTTCGGTACTGACATTTTCATTACTATTTATGAACTGGTCATTGCTTATCAAAGGTATGTAAAATGTTCAAACAAATAACCGAATAATATTTTAAAAGTTATGATGATCCCATTGAGGATGACTTCAACGAGTATCAGCCACTTTTCCTCAAAATTTTGCGATCTGTCTCAAAGGATTTCTCAAATATGCAAGTTAATATAAGCCGTTTCTTACAAATAATATGTTTTATAGTGTAGAAAACACTATAAAATGTAACTAGAGAGAATAGAGATGTTAGAATTGAAACAAAAAGAACGGCGGTTCCGATTCCTCATGCGGAACCGAAACGAACAGAACCGCGGTTTGCGGTTCTCAGCTTAGAACCGGAAATACTTTTTGCAGGTGGTAATAATTCAACAAAATAGAATTCATTTTATAGTAAACCAAAGGATTCTTTTAAATGATGATAGCAAATATATCTTTTTGTAGTTTGTTAATAGTGTGTTTTCATTTTGCTAAAAGAAAAGCAAATCAAAACGTCTCGAAAAAAGGAACTGGCTACAAAATCGCGGTTCCGGTTCCCGATGAAGAACCGAAAATGAGCGAACTGCAGTTCCGATTCTTAATGCGAACCGAGAATCGAACATCCGTACTAGCGAACCTTTCCAAGTGTCCAGCTTCGTCTTCGATGGCATTAGGCCCGTTGACGGAGAATGTGGTTCGAAGTAAAAGTCTAAAAGGGTTTGTGCTGGGAATTTGTTGTTGGGAATTTGTTGTTGGGAATTTGTTGTTGGGAATTTTACTTAGTGAAACACAACTTTGTTTTCCAAGGCAGTCCTTTTATTTCCTATAACTTACGTCACTCATTAGTAGAGTAGGCTGCAGGTGTTTTTAGTATTTGTGTTCTCTCTGACAACAACGTTCTGAATCAGAGAAGAAAACAATATAGTCTAATTAACTTTATCATATGACTGAATTTTCAAAAAGTTGAAAAACACAAGTAGCATTAATCATTCTGATCCACTTATTCCTTGACTGGAAAGGAATCGCCAATATCAAAAATACTCTTTATCCCACTCCTGAATGAGATGAAAGTTCTATAGTTGAATACCTCTGCTGTGAAAGTTTCATGGCTGTATGACGTCACATAATACAAGCACATATATATACCCATTTTATTTGTTGCTCTGTGCGGCTACCATATAAACATACAAACAAACATACAAGCATTTAGCTTGATAAGACCCTTTCAGTTACAGCCAAGGCAACAAGAAAATACCGTTCTATAATGAAAGACCTCTATGTGGTAGAAAGGAGCGAACGGTCTTTTTAGACCACATATTTCTATGAGATCAGTAAATAACGAGCATAGTTATGAAAAACATTTCTGGCCTTATCTGACTATTTTTACCAAGATACGAAACAGTGCCACTAAAACTCTTTCTCTACGCAAACAAAAACTACATAACTTTAGAAAGAAATCAGATAGGCACAAATCCTTTAAGAGTTTTGGTCTCGCGACTCTGAGATTCCAAATCGCTTCCTTAACGAATTTGCTACCTACTGAATAGCTATGGGCTGATTTTTACAGATCCTGAATGAAAAAACTTCATGAGCTCCTATTCTTGTTTTAACGTGCGCATAATATTTGAAAGTTACGGTCAAAAGTTCAGCACATCGAGAAGCAAAAATTTTTCGATAAAAGCTGGTTTTCGTTATAACTATAGAAATGGATATTAGTAATGGCCGCTTGGAACAGCGAAGAGTCCAGCATTTATTCTTAGCCATAATGGTCTAACGAGATCATGGATTTAGGAACACAATGAGGCACGAAAAGATTTTAAAAAGAAATAACATGAGAGAAGTGGAAGTCTTACCAAGACATTACCGTCAGATAAAATTCGACTTATCGAGCTTCGCTGAAAATTTAGTGATCGCCACCTTCTACATTAGCTAGTAAACTTATCGGGTAAAACGCAGAGATCATCGATTGTTTTACTTCGAACCACATTACCTGTCAACGGCTTAATATCACTGAAGACGAAGATGGACACTTTAAAGGGTTCTCTCGTTAAATTTTTTGATGGCTGAATGAGTAATCCGGGTTATGCAAGCAGAGATGTGCGCTGCCGCCGGTCATTTTTTACTCGCCGCCGCTGAAGTCGGAGAAAAATTATTGCGACTTCCGACGCCACCGCTGACAGCGGAGAAAAACTGTTCTGATTTCCGCCGCCGCCGCCATGTCGTTGAACTTTTGTCGCCGCCGAGGGCGGAGAAAATTTTTTTCCGAAAATTTTGACTATTTTTGTTAGTACGTTCTTACCTTAGGCATCTAGCGTGCAGCGCGTTTCTATCTTTTCGTATACGGCAACGTACAGCTACAGTGAGGGCGCGAAGAACGTGGCAGAAATGAAAGAGAACGAGAACTTTAAAAAAGTTCTCGTTTTAGAACTTAAATTATGAGATTCGCCGCCGATGACTAATATTTACACGCCGCCGCCGAAGGAGGAGGAAGTTCTCATAACCTCGCGCCGCCGCCGAAAATTTTTTATCGGCGCACATGTCTGTATGCAAGTCACGAGTATCTGAACCTCATAAGACAGATCCTCATAACTAAGCTAAGCCAGAACATAATATCATGCGTATCAGCTATGGTACAAAAGTCACAGTGAGTGGTGGTACTATTAATTAAATAGTATTAATTATGTTAAATTATTATTATTACTATAATCGCATAAAACTACACTATAAAAAGAACGTGTTCGTCATGTTTTCAGAGAACAAGTTGAAGATCTCATTTAAGTTCTTTGAAATATGAAGAACTTAGTTTCTATTTTTCAATAAAAATGAGTTCGAACCTCATTCAACCCAGGGTCGAAAGAGGTTTCAGATGACGGTCGAGTTAGGATGTGAGTTACATAGTTTTCTCTACTTGTGCAGGTGTCCAGTTGATAATATTTATACTGAGTAAAAGAATAATTCTGCATAGATCACAAATATCATATTGATTAAAAATAGTTGGCCTGGGAAAAGAGGAAATAAGTTCCAGATTTTTGAAAAAGTCGAAGAACAGAAATGTGCTTTTCAACCTGATGTTTTCTGGAAAACAAATGTTCGAAATTGGGATCTAAGAAAATGAAAAACTCAATTTCTGTTCCTCCGGAAAATGAAAAAATCAGTCTCCCAAATTTTCAGGAAACTCACATTAGTTCCCCCATTTGGGACAAATGAAAGACACGGTTTCAGTTTTCTGAAGGAGTCCTCTTTTTCAGAGTGTACAAGTTTGGCAGGAAAAAGATTTCAGTATAACCAAGCAGAGAAGCACCTGTCTCAACATTTCACTTTTCTTTGAAAAATAAAGTTTGTTATGCTCTTTTATTTAGATATAGCTGCAAGTGAAATAAAATTACAATGGTCTGATTCGTATTATAAGTATTTATATTCCGATTTAACAAGCGCTATTCGTAAGCTATCAGGCATATCGCCACGAAAAACTTCAACTATTTCTTCTCTATACACTGCGGAACTCGTTCCATTTTCCAATCTATCCCAAACAACGTCATTATATGATTCAACGTCGGATACAATTCAGGATAAAATTGCAGACAGATGGCCGCACTTAATTGCACTACGTGATGAAGAACTAATTCCCGTTGATATGAATGAAGAACAAGGTTTATTGGATGTAACTTCGTCAGATAATGGTAGTGGAGATAGTAAGTATAACATTTTCGTATGTTTAAAAAATTGTAAATTATATATCCTAGAGTTTCACTCAAGACACTGGTAGAATTATTGATTATGCGACTATTTAATCATGTAGCTAAGATATGTTTGTCTGTTCCTCTTTCATAATCTTCTTTTTCTACGTCATATACTATCGTTGATCGATTTAAATTCTAGTAAGGTCATCTAATTCAAAAATCAGGTGGAAGTGTTCTTTAATTTATCATATATCATTCAACAGAGCTTTTCAAGCCGATCAAGAATATGTAGTTTTTAATTTTTGAGACTTTCTTTTCGTGCCGAAAACTGGAAAAAGCTCGAAGGGTCTAAAGACTCGAAAAAACAATGATGTTTGAAAAAGTTAGACTTTTCCACTTGGATTTTTAGTCGGAACGTTCAAACTATTTTTGCTTGTTCAGCACTGAAAGCTGAATTGAAGAATGATATTAGATTCATTTCGAAGATAAACGCGTGTTCATCATGAACGTTTCAATGGACCATTGGAAAAGAAGGGTGAGTCATTTTATAAACCTATCTAATTTTTTGTGTCAGGGGATAGAACCGTCGTATTAATGTGTCATCACTTAATTTTTCTCTTGACTTCTCGTAGTCGTAAGCCCGGGTTCTTTAGTTAAGTGAGGCACGAAACTCTCTCAGTATCCTAAGTTGCAAGAAAGTGCCAGTTCACTTTATGTAATATATTTAAAATAACAAGATAAAATACATATACAAGAATAACAAGAAGTAAGGAGACCACTAACTGGTCTGTCGACTTACTAACTCTGTATTCTAAAAACAGTCTAACACACACTATAAAAATGTATGATTTCTTATATATATATATATATATCCAGAAGAACAAAGACATGTGACATAAAAGAAAAAGCTAGAAAGAGATAGTTAAGGATGATGTAATGTATAGATATAGAATAATAGTGATCACAACTGGACGAGAAAAAAAACAATAGATGAACGAAATAAAATAGACGAAATAGAAAAAGTAGACTACAGTCAGTATGATACTAAAAGATCACGCGTGCATACATGTGAAGAGAGGTAAGACAAACAATAGAAAACTAAATACTATAGAAAACGAAAGGACTAGAGCATTAAGTGTACCCGACTTAACATAATGGCAGTGTATCCACCGTCAGCCCAGCTCTATAAGTAGGAGGTGGCTATATACACTCAAGTACACGTAGCCAACCGACTATGTGCACTAATCAATTAATTAGTAAATATTAAGTTATATTATAGTCTTATATGTACTTAATTATTAATATAAATAAAATTTCTTAACTTATTAACAATCTTACGTTATTAATTCTTTGTTACATTTAAATCAAGTATAAGTCAAGTATTACAATTACACAAGTATAGAAAAAAAAGCTTAATTCAAATAAATAGCAATAATTAATTTAGAAACATTTCTAGCGCTTCCTCTCTTAGGCTTTGAAGGAAATGGTTGTATTTTATTATTTTCAATACATTTAACATAATGATCACGTAAAGATATCTGATCATAAAACAGCAAAGATGCAACATCTCTATAACAAAGAGAAGTAGCAAAAACCAATGCAAATGATCCACAATCGTTACTACCAATTTGCTGCTGTACATTTTCAAATGAAACGAAAAGTTTTTCTTCATCAGGTAAGATATCCTTGAAAAATTTAATTATTGATTCTTTTGGTTAACTTAACGAATCATACATTTTCCAAATATTATTACAATTCACATTTGAAATTGTTAGTCAGTGATTATTATTTGTATTAAAAATAAAAATCGAGTTCTTCAATGAATCTTTGTATAGTTTAATTTGTGCAGGATCACACAAACCATTAATATTTGGAAATTGTTTATGTAATAATTCAAAAAATAAATATATATGAAAATCAGTTAACCATGTCTTATTATCATAAACATCACGAATCGAATTTATTTTTTTATTACGTTTATAATTATATCTTTTTAGATTGGGCGAAAGTTGTTTATAAGTTCTTTTTTTATTTATTTTATCTTGATTGTTTTCATTATTTTTTTGCTTATAAACCACCAATAATGCCTTGCCACATGATCTACCTGGAGGATTAACTACTGGCGAATGACTAAAAACCATTTTTTCTTTTGATAATATATGCTCTTGTACTTCTTTTACTCCTGTTTCTGACTGCAGTTCTAATTTTGGTAGCTCTTCTTCAAAGAATTTTACTTCGTGTTTTTGTTCTAATTCTTTTTCTTGATTAAATTTCACTTGTTCTTGTTTTTCCTCTTGTGTATGAGAAAATTTAAATGCCCCTTGAATTTATTAGTTCCGGATTGAATTATGCGAGCTGTTAATCGATCTACAATTGGTTTCACACTATTATACCTGTCATTACTATTTAAAATTTTACTTTTTTTGAGTTGCAACTTGAGTTACTATAAATTGTGAATCACAACTTTGTATATTATCATAACATGCGATTTCATTCAAATAATAATCAACTGGATTTTTTAACCATCGCTTGTTAATTGAGATAAGTTCCTCGATTTCATTTGCTTGATCGTATATCTCATCATTAATTCTATTAAGCAAAACTATCATATGTCGATGCTGTAACTGATTTTGTAAATAAAATTGACAATCACAAAATAATAGACCTTGGTACGAATTGCAATAAATTACACTTGAAATAATAAAATTAATGTCAAATTTTTCATTTATTAATTTTCGATTATTATATGTTGAAGCCTTCGCAGTGTTTAGCGTTTTACATAAATCGTATGCTTCTTTATTTTCTTCTAATTCTCTATTTCTTATAAATTAATAATTTTTATAAATTTTCTCTGCTATCTGATGCTTACGAGTTCAATTTCTATTATTCATAAAAATAATTTTATTTAGTTCCGTATCCTGTCTTATTTTAAAATCGAACTCGCAATCTATTCGCGCTGATTCTTGATTTGGTCTTGATCCATCCTTTATATTTCTTCTAACAGGGCCGCTATGATCGCATACATACTTTACATTTTCGTATCGAAAATGATCAAACAATTGTTTGGTTGTTTTTTCATTATATTTAATTGAAGATCATTTAATATTCATCGGCTGATGGTATTTATCAAACCAATTTTTAAAATCTTTTTCGAAATGCTCCCAATTGTCGAATTGCCTTGTAAAGAAAGAATCTTTATCTTACTCCATTTTTTTGGTTGAACAATTACGATGAACTACTTATTCACTGTTGTGTGTTAAGTCAAGGGTCAACACTAACAGACTAGTATGAGCGTATCCTTGAACTTGAATAAAGTAGTTAGATTTAAGTATAGTCGTGTAACAAACTTTTTGTAATAGACGTTGAGAATGAATGTAACAGACTTTTTCAATAGACAAAAGATTGAAGTTAAGATTAATCAGTTTATTCAATATAGAAAAGATTAGAGTGAAGCTTAATCCATTATATGAAGCTATAAATCCAGAGACAGAGAACAAAAACAGAGAAGAAATTGAAAAACAAAATCAGGTGGAATTTAATCAAGAAGAAGAATTAGAACAAGAACACGACGTAAAATTCCGTGAAGAAGAGCTACCAAAACTAGAACTGGAATCAGAAACAGGAGCAAAAGAAGAACAAGAGCGTATATTATTAAAAGAAAAAATGGTTTTTAGTTATCATTGGCTAACAATTTCAAATGTGAATTGTAATAATATTTGGAAAATGTATGATTCGTTAAGTTAACCAAAAGAATCAATAATTAAATTTTTCAAGGATATCTTACCTGATGAAGAAAAACTTTTCGTTTCATTTGAAAATGTACAGCAGCAAATTGGTAGTAACGATTGTGGATCATTTGCATTGGTTTTTGCTACTTCTCTTTGTTATAGAGATGTTGCATCTTTGCTGTTTTATGATCAGATATCTTTACGTGATCATTATGTTAAATGTATTGAAAATAATAAAATACAACCATTTCCTTCAAAGCCTAAGAGAGGAAGCGCTAGAAATGTTTCTAAATTAATTATTGTTATTTATTTGAATTAAGCTTTTTTTTCTATACTTGTGCAATTGTAATACTTGACTTATACTTGATTTAAATGTAATAAAGAATTAATAACGTAAAATTGTTAATAAGTTAAGAAATTTTATTTATATTAATAATTAAGTACATATAAGACTATAATATAACTTAATATTTACTAATTAATTGATTAGTGCACATAGTCGATTGGCTATGTGTACTTGAGTGTATATAGCCACTTCCTTAAAAGTATACGTTCGTATTTTTTCAATTTTGTTTCGTTCCTGAGAAAATTCATTTCTTTAAACCGGAGTCGAAAAAGTCGGACTTCTCTCCGTAATTCTCAGTTTTCTCCATCAGACCTCAACTATTGAGTAATAAGAAAACTAGATAGGTTTATAAAATGACTCACCCTTCTTTTCCAATGATCCATTGAAACGTTCATGATGAACACGCTTTTATCGTCGAAATGAATTTAATATCATTTTTTTAATTCAGCTTTTAGTGCTGAGTAAGAAAAAATAGTTTGAACGTTCTGACTAAAAATCCAAGTCGGAAAGTCTAACTTTTTCGAACATCATTGTTTTTTCGAGTCCTTAGACCCTTCGAGCTTTTTCCAGTTTTCGACACGAAAAGAAAGTCTCAAAAATTAAAGACCACATATCCTTGATCTGCTTGAAAAGCTCTATCGAATGATATATGATATGTTCAAAAACACTTCCACTTGATTTTTGAATTAGCTGCATCTTAAATTGTCGCGAACTCGCAAACTCACGTATATGAACTCGCAAAATCTCATTCATATACGTTTCTTTCAGTGAAATCATTCTTTAGAAGCAGAAATACCTATTACAATAAGGGTCCTATTTAAATGATCAGTATTTTTCCTATCAAATGATCAGTATTTTTTGATCAACAAATATATGGTATTTGTGCAGTAAATAATTTCGAATGCCGGTAATTAAATCAAAATATGATCGGTGAATATATTAGTTTTGGTTAGTGAATAATTTTTTTTTGATCAGTTAATTTTCAATTTATATTAGTGAAACCTAGTACAATTACAAGTAACAAAATTTTATTGAATAAGCAATGCTTTTTTAACTTTTGAAGGTCGACCTCTACGTCTTTTTTCTCCAATTTTAATGTCCTTCGCAGCAGGTGGTGGTCTACAATAATTTAATCTTATTGCCAATCCAACGACATGTTTGCACATAAACTTTTTGAAAAATGCAGGACAATTACATTAATCATCTAACCATTTTACTTCATCCATTGGTAATGTAACATGCCAGATATTAAATGCTTTAGTTTTATACTGATCAAATGAATACCATTTCATTTTTTTCATAACATCAATTTCACTTTTTGAAATATTTAATTCTTGTCCAGCAGGTATGTAAAATTCAATTTCATTTTCTAGTTTCGTCGATACAATTGACTTGTTTAACTTGACCCATTGATAACTATTCGTCCATATATCTAATGTCACCGTTTGCTTATCATGAAATTGTTTGAGACCTCGTTCATACGATTTTGACTATTTTTCAACAATTTCTAATGTTAAAATTTTAAATCTGGATAATGGAAAACGTTCACGAAATATATTTTCATCCAATTCATAAAATTCTTTGATAACCACTTTCACGTCATCTGCTATTCTTGTACATTTTTGTTGTATAAGATCATGAGTATGTTCAGATGTGTCGCGGAATAAGACAACTTCTTCGTTAGTCGAATTAAATAACAAATAAATACCAGCACCACATTGATTTCCACGACGTTTAACCCGGTTGCATCTAAAAACTTTTTTTTTCCCATAAGATGTTGTATTCGTATAATATTCACTCCATTGACCTTCATTAGCTACCGCTTGTTCAGCTTCATCAGCATTCTTAAACACCATTTCTTTCATCCACTTACGTTGTTTCTTTTTTGCTCTTTTCTTACGTTCAATGTGTACATTGTCATTCACATCTTCCTCTTCGTCGGAAACATAAGGTGGTACTTCAATGACTTCGATCGCTGTTGCCATATTTAGATGTCCGCTGCCTGTTCGACCAGAATGCACCAATCTTAGGTGTCTAACTCTATATCGTCGGATGAACGATAACAAGACAAGTAAGTGATCGTTTCACACTGTGTTTATTTATGCAAAATCATCAGCTATATATAGGATGAGACATCACACATCTTTAGGAAATATCCAACGGATGGTCGAGGTTGAACGATCGGGAAAATCTCATCAGATATAATACATATGAACAATAACACTGAGAGAAAGAAAAGTACTTGTCAAGGGAAAAGATGAAATATATGTTATATAAGAAAGGAAAAATCCATCTATGTGTGATAACAGAAAAGGAAAAATTTCAACATATAAAAGTCAGTAGTAGAACAAAAGAAAAATACTGAATAAGAGAAAAAATGACAAGAACGGTAATCGAGAGACGTTCTAGAACGGTGAATACTGATAAAAATGCAATGATTCACTGACCAAACATATTTAATTACTGATATTTTAGTTTTGATACTGATAAGTTCATTATCTTACTGATAAAATGATTAAATTACTGACCAAATCCAATAGTCACTGATCATCAATTATTTTACTGACAATTCAATTTTTTTACTGATCGTTTGCATTTAATACTAATCAAATTTTACTGATCATTCATAATAAAATACTGACCATTTAATTTGTACCCTTACAATAAAATTGTACAATAACATACCATCTTTTCACTGCCGTAACTTTGGAACAAAAATGATAATAGCATTATCTGTTTTATGTTGTAGACTAACCACTACAGAGTAGATCAAAAGAAGCTTGGAAGTTTGATTTAACAGAGCTCGAAATATACGGAAAACTCCGGTAGTTACCGTTTACAGCAGTAGCGGGTAACTGAGTAGTTATCTGTTACTTTTATAAATGCTGACTCTTTCATTACCTTTCCGTTACATTGTAACTAAAAGTGACGGTAACTGTGACATGCCTAGATCAGAGATGAACAACACTTCATCATACTTAGCCAAATCATCATTACTGCTCTGTTCAAAAACAAAAGACATATCTGAAACATCAAAATTTGCTTGATTTGAAAAATGATTGTTTCGGTTTCACATGATGTATCGAATTCCTTTAGCCACGGACACACAAACAACAGATTTTTCAACATCAGCCGAGAAACCGACTACATCGGACAGTTATAGTACAGTGTCATTCACCACTACACCTGTGTCAATTAATATAAGCACATCAACAGCATCATCGAACACGCCGAGTACAAGTACAAGCACCTCCACAACAAGCACATCGACGTCAAGAACGCCATTAATAGAAGCCCCGAGTAAGTCAATTCTTAAATGTTATGAGGCTGCGTATTTCGATAAAAACTGTCTCATTCTTCACGATTTTCACTTGGAGAATGTTCCAATGGTCCGCAAAAATGAATTTCCGAAAATCGATTGGGTCCTTCTGGAGGTGTTATTGGACAAGGCTGTCCATGTTCTTTTGTCTTGATAAGTTGAACGATTGACAGGGTAGACATGTTATAATTTTCAATTGTTGTACGCATATCAGTCACCAGTATTTCTCAGCGAATATTGCAGATTGAAGATTAATTAAATTGTACCTTCGCTTGTTTACGATGCCGTAGTAACAAGATCTTGAAGGAGGATTGCTATTCTATGTTATTTCGGAGCTACTTTCGGTGATGTGATATAACGGACAATGATCTGTTCTGATGATTAAATCTTGTATAAACTGCTTCATTCTTTTGCACGATGGAACAATAGCCAATGCTTCACCAGACACGATGTCACAATTCTTTTGATGTGAATCTAATAATTGACCATGATAATATAAAGTTCTCGGTTGTCCTTCTATTTCTTGTTGTAAAACACCAGCTATGAGTGAAGATTACTAGCTTTGAATCGTCTGGAACTGAAAAAAATAAAAGTTCTTGTGTCAATAACTTCTTCAATTGTTTGAAACCTTGACTTTGTTCATATTTCCATTTGAACTCGTATTTATTCCCTTTGGTTAAATTAGTTACAGCGTGAATTAGTGCGGCAACTCTAACAAACGATGGAATAAATTTTCTATAAAATGCCAAACTTCCAACAAATTCATTTGCCTGATTGAGAGATCTGGTTCTGCCAAATTCAGGCTGCTTGCATTTTTAATTAATTGGTTGTATGCCATCTGTTGATATTCTGTGGCCTAAATAATCAATTTTTTATTTGGCAATTTCACATTTGATAGCGTTGAATTGGAGATTGTTCTGCTGTAATAAATTCAGGGCGTTTTGTAGATGTTGACAATGTTCACTGAATTATTTGGAATAAATAATTATATCATCGAGGAAATCCAATGAATGCATGGTTCCAAAATTTTTGACATGATTCGCTGAAACGGTGGGGGAGCGTTCTTAAGGCCCTACGGATGGACATTCCATTGATATAATTTTCCGAAAGCACTGAATGCCGTCTTATGATGATTTTTTTGTCACGCAACTGGAAACTGCCAGAAACCTAATTTTAAATCAAGTTTTGAAAAATAATGATTTTTTTCCATTGTCAAGTTATTGGATAGTGTCTTCCATATCGGGGGAAATCATATCCATTCTTTATTATAATATCACTCAATCTTTTGTAAATGGTTGCTAGACGCTGACCACCAACGGATTTGCTAACCATAAGAGCAGCTGATATGTATTGGGAATGAGATTCACTAATTGTCCAGAAACCAACAATTCTTTGATGATCTTTTCTAAAGCCACTTTTTTCTCACCATAATATGAATATTGCTTATCGAATGGTGGCAATTGATTATCTTCTGTACTGATTGTATGAAAAAGTGTTATTGTGACAACTGTTGGCTTGGAATTATCAAATGGTTTCTTGTTATTGAATAGAGCATTTTTTAACATTGAATGTGACTCTTTTCCTGGATATGTTTAATGGGGCGATCGATATTTTCCTCTATTGTTAAATTTTCTGGACGTTGTTCAATGTGATTGACTGCTGGTATTGTAGAAAAATCCAGATCATCTGTTGATATCCGAATAGTTCCCAAAATAATTCCTTTTGATCGATATTGTGGATATGGTGATGAGTTGAACAAAGGGATTGTGATTGTATGATGATGTACGTTGATTAAGGAATTAGCCATTAACAGTGGTTTTAAACTGAATGATGGTTTGAAAATCACAGTTACATTTGAGATTCCAACTGATGCATTAACTGAATATTCTTCATAGCGATAAATCATAGCGACAGAATTAATAAGACGAACAGGTAGCTGAAGATTTTCAAGATTTTTGTCTAATGAAATTGTGGTTGTTGTGTTGTTAATGGTGATCAAAATAGATTTTGAGCCAGTATCAATATTTAGTTTATATTTGTTGATATAATCCATTCTCAATACACATTCCACACTAAGGTGCTTGACTGCCACTGCTTTAACTGTCGTAACAACTAATCTTAATTTAATTTCTGATTCTACTTTTCCAATAATTTCCGAAGGTGATATTCATCCGCTAAAGTTAATTTTTGATGATTTCTGTTGATGAATTTTTTGTATTTTGTTTGTCGAGGAGTTCATTCAGTGATAATGGAATTAGCTGCTCCAGTATCAATCATTATTTTCATGTGTTGGTCGTTGACAGTTGTTGTTATGAACATTAATGAGTTTTTTCATTAATAAAGTTTTTTTTATGGTAAATACTTCAGAAGCATCACCATCTGATGCATTCGTTATTGGAAATCCTGACCTCCTCGTTGTTAATATTGATAACGAGGACTGCGATGATGTTCATAACGATTTTGTTGATATTGTGATTGATGGGAAGATGATTGCCGATTTCAATTATCTTAATGATTCTGAGTTATTAATTGGTTTGAATTTAGCCATCTATAATTTGAGAAAGACTGATGATTAGATGATGTGGTAAATTGTGCTGTTGAATGAATTTCGGCATTTCTTGACGTGGTTGGTTGAAAGTTACTGTTGTTATTGTTTCAGTTTCTGTTAAATAACTATTTCTTCGTTGATCGTTCTCTTTTAATTTTTGTAAATCTTCAAATCTCTTGGCAATTTCAATAAATTGTGCTGTTGTTTTTGGTTGCTTCTTATATATTTTATATTTCAATGAATTCTTCATATTTAACATTAAATAATTAACTTTCAATGTTTCTTCCATAGACTGACCAACTTCTTTTAATAATTTTATCATTTCATTATAATACTGTGTGATGGTTTGATATATTGTTTTGTGATCATTTTTAGCGGAGAAATGCTTGAATGCTCGAATATGCTGATGTAAATTGTTTTATAATTTGTCCTTTAAATGATGATCACGATATTATTCTAGATGAATTTTTGTTAAACCAATCGTTTGCCTCACCATCCAAGAACGTTGAAACATATTTCAGTTTCAAGTCATCTGGGCATGAATTTGCTTCCATTTTATTTTCTAAATCATTCAGCCGTGCTCTAACATTTCGTTTTCCACCATCAAATTTTTCCGGGTTCTTGACTAAGTCATCTAAAAAGCCTGATTGAATCATTGTTTCTAAATGAATTGATGATGGATATTATGAAACTTGAAACTGTGGAGCGGATGACGCTGGCAGATGTTAATGATGGCTCAATTGTAGTTATTTTATTATCGCCGACTAATAATGTATTACCTGCTGTCGTTGATATTGGTATGGCAGTTGCTATGGTGTATTTGGTGTAACTGGACTCATCGGTTGAAATAATTGTGGTGGATTTGTTAATCTGTGGAAACTCCTGGATTTGTATCAAAATAAAATTGCGGAACTGTGGTTTTTGTAATTGTGAAATTGTGGAATTTGACAGTTGTGAATTAATGAAATTATGAAATTGTGAAAATGAGGAGTTTTTCATAGTTGATGATGCAATTATTGTAGCTGTTGAGATCTTTTGTTCCTGTTGTTTTTGTGGTTATTTATCAACAGGTATAGGATTCATACTTTTGGAATCAATATCAATTGTTGTTGGTGACATCATTGACAAATATTTTTCACAAAACATTTGAATAAATGAATCAAAATCTGCCATTTTCGATTTATGCGAATAAAACCAAAACTTGCATCGCTTTCCACTGTTAATCCCACATTTTGTAATTTCAATACATCAGTGTCTAAAAAAGTTATTCTAATGTGCTAAAACCTAAAAACTATTGATCAATTGAAAAAAGCAGTTGATCAAGCCGATGATTCTTTCCCATTAAATATTGGTATCGTTTGAAATCCACGTTTTAACCGGTTCAGCGGTGATGAAATTGTACATGATACTTTGACTTTATCTTCCGTTGTTGTTTCTGTTCGTCGTAGTAAATACGTTGATGGCTTTTTGTCTTCAAACATTATTATTGTCGTTTGTAGTGGAATTTGTACCATTTTAGCTTGGTGACATTGATGTTACTGTAGCTATTGTTGATAATAGCAATGGTGGAGTTGCTGGATATTGTGTCAACAGTTCTTTAAATTTATTGTAGTCATTTGAACTTAAAAAGAACGATTTTGTTTAATGATACCAGTCTTGCAGTTGTTGATCAAGATATTTATAAACAATTGTTGTCAAAATTTCTTCGTAATAATCCAGTGTTGTGAAAACTGATTCAAAAATTCCATCCATCGATCAAGTTGTATTCAACTTAGAATGTCCAAGCGTAGTGATCTTTTGTTGTTCAATTTTCCATCGTTTGAATCTTTTGACGATTAGCCTTCTTCTTACGGATGTTTGTTATTGAACTTGTTTCCGTTAACTTGCACAGTAAAACAAATATTACGGCAATATTGCATGTACAATATAGTTCGGACATCAGTTTGGTCTGATGTCTATTTTGAACTTGGTTATATTTTGGGACCATCTACTTCATCCGTCCATTCCATTTAACACGAAATGAAAACGTTTTCGTAGTGTTATGCAAAATCTCTTCCTTAATTCAACTGTTATTACTACGTTTTGGGATTTAGATACTACTAGACTGACAATTTACATCCAAGTCTCACCCTCCTCACCCTTAACTAGAAGTGACGAATCCTGCAGTTCATCAAGTTCACAGGCACAGGATTCTATAAAAGAGCTGGTGAGTGAAATATCCATCAACACTGCTACTATTTATGTTCCTCAAATGTGCATTGTTATCGTCTTATGTAATATTTGCAGATTGATAATTTCATCAGGACACATTGCAGTACATCATTAAGCTGCTCAAATGTGAACTGCTCAGATGCGACCTGCTCAAATGTGACCTGCTCACCAGTAAATGCCAGCATCACCAAGTATTATCACTTATTTATTCTCTTATCAACACTATATCTACGCCAGTGATTAATGCGTTTTAGGATTGACGCAGAAATAAAGACTAACTTACATGTGTTTGAGAGATTCGACTTAGTTACCAAGCTATTTACAGATGCAAGCTACAACATTCCATCTATCATAATACCAATGAGTGGAAAAGAACGTAAGCTGATCACGAGAAAAGTTTTACATCTCGCATACAAACACTATGCTCATCATGTCTGCTTTTCTCCGCAATATATTCAAGATGTAACTGTTCTTTCTTCTGCTCTTCTTATCTCTTCTCTTTAGGCTGATGCATTCTCTTACTGGTAGCTAAATATCTAACAAGTTCCACCTCTCACACTGAATGTATTTCGAATATCATTCGACATTCCAAAAAGCATGTGGAACTAAACAAATAACAGATAATGACTCGTATCATAATTAGCGTTAAATCTACAGAAAGCATGCACGAATTAATCGAGAATAGTTAAAACATGGCCAAAAATAAAATTCTCGGAAACCAACCTTATTTCATTCAACACACATTTTTAGAAGAACGAATATTTTCTCACTTCGGAAGATCTTTAAGCTGAGAAATAAATTTTCAGACCCCCTATTTTTGCTCAAAACTGCTTTTTTACTATTCGAATTTACATACAGCCGATTTAAGCCCCCCTCCAAATGTCTTAGTTTCAAAATAAAACAAGAACGAATGCTGTACGAAGACTCGTCTATGAGGGGATACAATTTTGCTCCGCTAAAACCGTGTTCTGAGAAAAACGTTAAACTAGATTGAAGAGCATAGTGGCACCAAATCTAAGGTTTAATATAGGAGTGTGGTACATTTATATGAAGCAAAAAGAAAGTCTTTCTTTTACTCTCATAGAGGTTATCTGATCGATAGAAAACCTAATGAATATCTGACAAAAATAGCAGATGTTATGATTAGGAAATAGTACACTAAGTAAACATCTTTACTACTCAAATTACGCAATTTCTTATCGACGGTAACTAAGGAAAAATAGCTAAAAATACCTGAAAACTGAGGTGGCTAACAGAAAACCTCTCAAAACCTCATGAAAATGAGTCGAATTTTTTTGAGCAATATACCATTCGATAGATAATTAAAAACTGAACAGAGCGTTGTTATATTTTTGTTGACCTGCTTCCTACTTTCTATCGCATTGTTCAATGTCTGTCAAAACTTAAAAGATTCCCAAAAAAGGTTTTATCTTGCACAGAATTGTCAGGTCTAAAAGTCCAAATAACTTCTGGAGCTCTAAGATTCGATTTAGAATTCTAATTCATCTTTTGTCGGAAAAGATCATATTTTTTAATAATTAAAATTACAATCGAGTATTTCGATATTTTTGCTCACAAAATAGAACCGTAGAAAAAAAATCAAAATCGTACATTTTACTCATTTTTCGATTCACTGCCCATACAGACGAGAAAAAATCGTTCGATGGATGCGGTTATCGATTTCGAGCCGTCGAACACAAATGTTTGGGAACCAAGCAGCCGAAGAGACTTCCGAGCCCTCGTCACCTGAGGGTACAGTGAGAGCTCGGAAGTCCCGAACATCTGTTCGACGGCTCGGAATTTTTCTCGAGGACTCGCTACCTATCTCACACCCGAGAGCTTGAAATGGCTAACCCCTCGAACCCTTATATCAAGAGACTGAAGTCTCATTTTTGAAGACTAATCCAACTAACTATATGGTACATCATAATGTGATGATTATGCTATCGGACAGATGATCTGAGGTCGTTTAAGATGAGTGACTTGCCCTAGCTTGTTAATAACAAGTAGATGACGAACAACATAATCACTACGGCATACTGCCTAAAAAAGATAAAAATCGGAGATTGCTTCCCCTTTTGCAAGCAATATAATTAAGAGAAAATCTAGATTTTTATATAGAAACAAATAAATTTTTTTACAACAATATGTACCAGCACTATACTACTCCTTTTTCATAAACATTATATACGAATTGGTATGCAGTTTTTCTTACGTGTGCTCGATACACTGCTCAAATATATATACAAATTCCAGAATTCACGCTCGAAATATTCTTCTAATAGACAACAAAGACAAAGATGATACCACTAATATGATTTTGTATTGAAAATTGCATAATTTGATGAATCTCAAATGTCTTCTATCGTCCATCATCCTTCCTTTGTATTATTTCACAATTAACCTTCGGTTATGGCGCTACGTACTAGATTAGATTATAAGATTTAGATTAGAAACTGTGTAATCCAAAAAACAGGTTGAATTTTACGATTATAAAGAGTTCTTGTATGTACTCAATTAATTATGGTTAATTAATTCGGAAGCCTTTAGACTAATGGAATAAAATTTCTATTTTCTCCTAAATAGCTGCTTGCAAAATGAACATGAGTCAAATAAAGTATTGGAGTTGATTTATTTGCTCTTTCTTTCTTTCTTTATATGATTATTTTCTTTTATTTGTTGACCTTCATTTGAAGAGCTCATTTCATATGGCCAATCTACTAATACCATCAACGTTCTTTGATATCGATCCGTATTAGTCAGAATATGTCGGTATAAGTGAATCGTTTGTGCGAGGGCATTTATGTTATTGATAAACATGTTCATCAGAAAAACTGCACTGAATCCATATCTTCTGCGTTTCTATAAAGATAAGTGCCAGTTGTATTGAAAGAAGGAAAGGTAAATAAAGACATATTCAATTTTTTCTGATCCTCTTAGAAAGATATAAATCAGAAAATGAGAATTGTAGAGAGAAATAAAACAAACAAACGGTATACGCTGTTTGTATATAGTAGGCTTCTTGTCAAATTATGAAATATCGATCAGAACAGTTCGCTGAAATACACTCTTATAATTACAAAAACAATTAAACCATCCGGTTCTTGTTGACATAGATCCTTTAAGATAGACATAGCTAGCTTATCGGTTATCTGACTGACTAAAATTGATTGTAACATATTAACTATTCTTATAAAAATGTAAATGTTTTTTTAGACGATATTTATGAAGCACCACCTCCTTGTAAGATTTGTGAATATTTGTTTCTCGGCACCTGTCCTGCCGGTCATACTACCGTTGATCTTGACAATGATACTGTTTGTATTTGCCCTTCGGACCATAGCTCCATACCTGAAAGGCCATTTTGTAAGCGCATCGAGGTCGAGCCAATGAAATCATCATCATCAGCCACTTTGCCGGTGATTTTTGGTGTTATTAGTGGCTTATTGCTGGTAATTTCAGTGGGTATGGGTGTATGTTTTATTAATCAAAAGCGGCGAGCCTCAGCAACGTAAGTATCGTTTAGAGACATGAAACCTTTCTCTGTTCATATTCATTTTTTATTTCAGTAAAAAGCAAAACTACAAACCCACATTGAGTATTCCACGAGCAACGTTACCAACTTTAGTTAAGACAGCATCTCTCGACGATGTCGGTTTGATCAATATTGAAAGAAGCAATGATGGAACGAGCAACGATAGGTCACATGATGCATTTTCAGATTTTGGAGAAATCGATTCTATTACCGACCTGATAGACACTATGATCGTAAATGATGATCTCGCCGACGATTTCGCTGAAGCAATCAATCCAAATTTCATAATACCACAAACAACGATGACGCCTACATCTGACTGTTTCCGGTAGGTAAATCAGTACGAATTTTGATAATTCTGATTCTAATTCTGATTTTCAAATCAAACAGAGACTTTCTGTTACACATAAAACGGCAGATTAAACCAAGATTTTTTTCTTCGAAAAACGTTTGGTAGATTTGTGGGGAAAAGATGAAAGAGCGCTTTCTGATTAGTCTATTTGTTTTGTGTGACATGAGGCCTTTCTTAAATTGAATGCTGTTTGATGAAACAGTGCTGTATAGAAAGAGCTCAGATGCGTCTTGATTTGCTCAGAAATCTTTTCTGTACACAATAGGGCTGTTACAGACAAAGCATCACTCGAATTCGTGAACTTAGTTTTCTAGGATTTGGGTTTTTCAGAGACTTGAGCCCTGGAAACTTCAGTGGAGCCTTTATTAGTTAGTTCCAGAGCAGACTGGAAACTCCTTCAGCCATTCAAATATTTTGGAGATTCGTTGTAGCTATTATCTTCGAGGAGAAAAAGGGAAAATAAACGCGAGTCACTAGTTTTGAGAGCTACGGTAAATAAAATTCGAAACATTGATATACTATTCAGTATACAAATGGTTGACAGCATACTTTTTAAAAAACTGATATATTTGAAATTGAAGCACATAAAATTCTGCATTTTTCTATATCATAAGCATTTCGGGTCCCATTTTCGCGCACAACACTGTATCGCATTCACCATTTCACAATAAGTCAAAATTACTGCAGCCGTTACCTGTCTTGCGCTTAAATCTGACCAAATAAGGATTGGAAAAACTACGTTATGCCTCATTCTGTAGCCCTTTCAATTCTACATTTTTCAATATACAAACTATGCCTAATTTCTGTCTGTAGAAGAAATTATAATCATGTTTATGTGCTACTATAGAAAAAAAAATCGCGATATGTGTGAAGCATTTGTCTAGTATACTTACGAAGGCAAGCTTTTTAAATAATGGCTCATTAGCTCCTTTTAATAATAGCTCATTTTGCAGCGTACACAATTTTCTATCGAATGGTGTATAATAGTTGATATTTGCTGTAGGTGAATCATGCCTAAAAATTCAGATGAAATAGAAACTGCTGTTTTATCGATTCATGCATTCATTCATTCAGCCAATATTTTCTTTTTATTTTAGTTTCTGAAACATTCGCTACAATTGAACTGACAAGTTAATCAATCACTTTCAGCAGGTTTTCGCTATTACTAGACGTCAGAAATTTCAGATTTGACATGCAAATGACCGTACTCGCCAGGTCTGACTGAAACTGATTCTCTTTCAATTGTTTTATGTATTACAGGTTTGTTTCTTTTTTAATCAATAAATTAAAAAATTCTATTAATTTATAGTTGATTCAATTCTAGTTAGTACTCTAGTAGTCACCCTCATTCGATCAGGCAAAGAAACGAAAATTTCTCTTTTTCAGTCAATAGAGTATAATGGTAGATGATGAAAAACTTTATGTAAACAGAGAGCAGCAAGCATATGAGATCACGTTTTGTATATTACTTCAACATTTAGTGTAAAACGAACCTTGATTTTATATGTGAATATTTTTTATCATGGTTCCGAAGGATGATTCGCTATGAAAATCCAACTGTTGTACAAACAGCGGGATTTATTTGTTGAATTTTTGATTGTTTGTCGTTAATCTTTTAGACACGTTTTTCAGATGGCCCTGTTTGTATAACAGCTGGATTTTCATAGCGAATCGACGTCCAGAACCGAGATGCTTTTCATTTTGTAGAGAAATGCTTATCTACTTAATTATTTAGTTGCAATTTTAGATTAATTTGTAGTTTTATTGCAATAAGTTCTTGAACAAGAGCGAAAAAAGGGGACCGTTAACTGGACAAGTCGTCTAATGTTGATTGTAACAATGATAATAAAACAGCGCATCTTCTCATGAACCTGGGAGCTTTTGGTTGTCATTAGTACTTCTATATAGTAATGATTCACACCATTTATATGTTACTTGACATGTACATGAAAAACCAAGTTCACCTGTAGAATAAATCGCTGAAATATAATCAACTAACTTATTCTATTGTACGGTTGACATAATATTTGTATTTGGACTAGATACTGTATCCGTTGGAAACAATGCACACAATAAGAAATGTTTTCATCATTTCAGAAATATTCATATTATATTCATCAAAAAATGCACTAATTATCCAAGTATGGAAAAGTCTATAGACCTTTAGAAATAATCTTATTTTGATGTTTTCAGCATAAGATCCAACCGTTTTCCGTTCACTCTAGTTTTTCGAAACTATTTTATTTGGATTCAGCATCAAACAGTTAGTATATCCATGTAGGTTTGTCACTAGTTCATCGTTCTGATGCCTGCATTTTGATACGCGATTCTCTCAAACCTATGTAGTTTTTATTTCAAAAACTATCCCAACTATCATACATTATTCGGATCACCATCTGACAGTGAACAAAAGTATGCATGGATTTAAAAAACTGCCATTTCCCCGCCGAGAAAAGCCATCATTAGTATAGCAAGGGGCAAAAAAGTCGGAATTCTGCCTGTACTTTTCAATTTTCTCCATCAGAATACACCTTTTATGCAATAAATATAACATATTCAGGATCAGCATCGAAATGGTATATCTTTTTATACTGTCCGATCACCTTTGTTTTTTTCGAATTTTCACGTCGAAAAAGCACTGATATTTTCACGAAAAAAACGAAAATCAAGGAAAATTTTCGAAATATATTATTTATCAACCATGTATGTTTCTAGGAAATCTATGCTTTTGCTTACCTTTCGAATTTGGGGCAACTTACTTTATTTAGATAAAGTTAAGCATTACCGCGATAAACATTGTTTATGGATAGATCACGATAATAACATTATGGCAATAAAAAAGGTTACTTTGTCCGATAAATTATTTATCATCGTAACTGCAAAAACTCCCTGACGGCCTCGATAAGACAAGCACTTATCACGATAAATACATCGAAAATGTGCATGAGCACTCTCTTCTTTGAATATATAAAAAAAAATATTTTAATGTTTAAAAAATAAATTTTACATTTTCCATGATTGAATGGAATATTCCACAGATATCAAGTTACACATAGATAATCCGTTGGACTTTATAGATGTTTACTTATAACTATCAAGTTGGTTACAAGAAATATTGACAGCGGAACGAAATGGATCTTCTCAATACACAACTGTGTCCTGGATGTCATGTTCGTATAGAGAAAAATGGCGGTTGTTCACACATGCACTGCTCGAGATGTGAGCTTCATTTTACGTGGAATACGAGAGAATATGGTTAATTCTGGCTGTTGAACATCAATATACGATCGAAAAATCAGATTTTTATTAATAGATTTTCCAGAAACCCTTTCATAAAGCCTTAGTTCTATAAAATCTCTTTCTAGATCTCCTGTTAGTACGATATAGAATAGACTAAATGCTTCACATACTAAAGTTTGAACTCGTTCTAATGTATTTTGAGCGAATAGTGAAGTTTTTGATATTATCTGAGAACAGTCTGAAAACCAAAATTTTCGTAAAAGTTCCTTTTTCGCTCGATTTTTGCTTCAAATTTTCAATTATTGCTGTTCACCAGTTTTTCAGAAAACTCGATTTTTCATTGTGTCACATTACGAACCCCCTTAAATTTTATCCGATCGAGTTTCAAATTTTACCAGAGGTACTCAAGGTCATTTCGCAGAGATAATTTTTGGGAAATTTTGTTGAGACCTTTCCTGGTCGAGTTATAGGAAAAGTACTGAAAAACGTCTCGAAAACCAAGTTTTTCGATTTTAGAAACCTTATAGGCCGGTAAAGAAAAGTCTAAAATACAATTTCCAAAAATTAACCCTGTAATAGTATCTTGGCTACCTCTGGTAAAGTTTTGGACTCGACCGGATGAAATTTAAGGAGGGTCGTAATGTGGCACAATGAAGTCTGGTAGCAAAAAAATAGTTTTCGAGAAAATCGCATTTTGTATCTGTTTGGTTTAAGTATGCACGGATTGTAATTTATGTGTATACTTAGTACCGAGAAAGAATATTATCACTGTTACGTGCCATTTTAAGGGAGCCTCCGCCACAGAAAGTGAGAAAATGATGAAACCGATACTTATCTCCAATATTTGATATAAAAGTACATTATGCTCGTGTTTCAAAATGTTCCATTGTAAATGAATCAATGCAGAATTGTCTGCTGTACAAAGTGAAGCTAGATTTATTTTGGGACTACCATATGCGTGGTCTCTTTTTAAAAAATACAGCAAAAAATGCATATTTTAAAATATGAAATTTGTAGTTTTCTATTACTTACCGCTAAATAGCTACACATATTATTATGTCTAAATACATGATCTTATAGAGAAAACATCTTTCTTTCAAATGAGCCATGGATCAGTCATAGAAGCTTCGTAGTTTTGAGAAAATCAAATAATACAAAGATTAGTGAAAATTCACGTTTTTTCGATTAATCGGCGACCCTCAATAGAATGTTTGGTCTCTAGTGTCTTAACAAAACACTNACACTTTCAGAAAGAGTTATTGCAGGGTTAGTAGTCATTTTGAATGATCTTTCGAATGACATTTGAACAATTAAAAGAAAGAGTTTACCAGTGGACAGCCTTACGGTACCTAGGTTGGTTTTCTTGCGAAGGCTCTTTTCATGACTTCGTTTAGCTAATAATGAAAAAAATTACGTCTGGCACCCGAAAAATTTAAAAAGTAGTCGGCCGGGTTGGGCCAGAAAAGTTTTAGGACTGATCGGGCCCGGCCGGGCCAAAATGTTTCGACCTATGCGGATCTCTGTTTTGTACGTACGTCACTTTTACCAGAGCATTTGCCGCGATGCTTAATTCTTCGCGAAAACTCATCGAAAAATTCGGTAAAACGTCTCACTGTGGAGAAAACTCTTTCTTCTATCAGACTATGTGTAAGAAAAACCTTGCATCTACAGAAAATGAGAGAAAAGTTTATGAGACTAAAAAATTGAGTTTTTTACGTTTTGAAGGAAAAACTTTAAAAA